CGCCAGCGACGCTCAGGTGATTCAGAAATACAACCAAGTCAAGGCGGACGTCAATAAGAACGGTCCCATCACCCTCGAAGAATGCTGGAGGTGCACTCCAGTGGTGCTCCGCCTGTGGTATACCGCGCAGAGGCGATGGAAGCTGAACTACTTTGACTGTGCGCATGTCCGGATCGACGATTAGAAGGTGCCCATCCTCTTGATAGACGTAGCGGGAGGGTGTGGGTAGATCGAAGCGCAGCGTTTCCTGCCACCGCAACTCGCGCCAGGCGAGCTCGTAACTCTCCAAGCTCTCAAGGCGCTCGGCCAAACTCGCGAATGAATCCGTTGCATCGGCCATTCCGCGTGCTGTGAGGGCGATCGCGTAGCGAAGAGGCAGAGACTCGTTGACAGTTTGCTGAAGGAGTTTGCAAACACTGCTGCACACTAGGACGTCGCGGACGTCCAGGCAGCACAGGATTTTCTCAAGGATATCAAAAGGTAAGTCTATAAGGTGCATGTTGTTCTATCGACTGGCAAGAAGTAGAACGGTGCCAGGATGATTGTAGATGATGGGAGCAAGAGGAAGACCCGAGGCCGCGTTCGCACTTGCCATCAACTTCGCCACGTGTACTTTTCTCAACGACGTGCCACCGACGCAACACACCAACTTGCTTGCAACACTCATCACGTATGCCGGACCCTGACCGGTCTGACCGGAATCCAACGAACTGTATGTTATCGATCGCGAAGAAAGTTTCCCGCCGCAAAGGTCTGTGATTGTGCGGGCTTCTTTCCGTCCAACACCTTCGGTAGGCCATACCGATTACCTCAAGGCAACCTCTCCCGAATCGACAAGCACCTCCCGAAGCTACCTCTAAGGCTATACTGTACCGCGAAATGTATCTACATCTGGGCCCTCTCAGCTTCTGTGGCTAGTAAGGCCGCACTACGATTCCGAACCTCTCGAGCGCCTTCAGTCCCTTGAGTCTTTCTGACCCTGTCACTCAACTGCGGATACAGCGATACGAGCGCTTATCCCTGGAACCTCGCCGCTCCCATGCGTTCTTGATGTTCGTATCAATGACTCCGAGTAGCATCGCCTTATGGGCGCGGAGACCTCTGTACGTGGCTCGCGCTACACGACATTCTCATGTGTCGCGAACCTCGGCGTCGGCCGCGAATAATCGTCCAATACCATCCCGACCTCGAACTGAAGGCCTCAATACGCAGCGCGCGTGCGGTCACCATCACGACTAGGCACTTTGCCCCTCTACCTTCTCGCATGCATCGGCACCAAGCGTCGTCTTTCCGGCGATACATTCCCGCGTGGCTACATGAAATTCGGACGTATAGCGTATACAAGAAGGCGGGATCACACGCACACGGCACGGGCTATGTGGGAAAGATATGTGCTCAATCACTCATCATCCGACTTGAGCGCCGAACTTCTCTCAATGCGCGTCTATGACCACACGCGACTTCTCGTCTTCTCCTGGGAGCGTAATCTTGCCACGCAGAGTCCCTTCATCCGCATCGAGCCGATTCGGGCTTGTCTTTAAACCGCAGGCAGTGCACCCTCTCACCCTTAGACCTGATTTCCTGCAGGCATGGTCGTCCGACCCCAAATGCGGTCGCTTTATTGAACGTCTTAGTCCGCGCCAAGGCCAATACGGTGTTCCGCACTCTGCGAGGATGGTATATCGCCGTTAAGATGCCGCCGCCGGCATATACCGACACCTGCAGTAACCCTACTCGTGCAATTAGGACCGACTGCAGACTTGTTCTCGGCCCCGCTCGACTACACGAACAACTCGACCAGGCAACCACGCCCACGACTCTAGTGTGGCATCCATATTCGGCCACTGCTTCTCTTGCGCACGCCACGGATACCTGAAAGGTCTTCTGGTGTCAGTACTCAATGGGGTGACACCGTGTGCGACTCGCGACGTGCGTTCTTTCGTCAGAAGCTCGGCACCGTGAGGACATTGCGAACACGCACTGGGATCCGTGCAGACTCCCGAACGCAACCCGAAGCTGACACTGTGGCCTTGCCTTGGTGCCCGTGACCTATTATGTTGCACATTGCTAAGAAGGCTGCGCCGTTAGACACGACAAATAGTCGTGAACACAGCGAATACCTGTGAATACGCTGCCGAAGGACTTGCGCCGGACGATGGACAAGCTTCCAAATGTATGACTCGCGTGAGCTTCGTATCATAGCATGGTGTAGATCAAATCCTGTCAATGCCCCATGGCTGAGTTGGTTACAGCGTCCGACTGTTACGTGCAGTGCATCGGAAGGTCGTGAGTTCGAGCCTCACTGGGGCAGTATAGCAGTGTTGGCTAGTTTTGCTAGGCGCGGTCTTTTTGTACAACTGTTTCCTGTGACACTTCTGCTGCGAGAGGTGCGGACTGAAGAGGGATGTCGGTGTCGAATGCCAGACCGCCTGCAGAGGCAGTTTGTGTTGAATGCGCGACATCCGTACTCGGGATTCAAGTGTCTCACAGTATGATAGAGACTCGCAGTATCATGCGTGAGTGATAAGTCATAGAAGCCGTCTACTTCTCCTTGAGATTCATTGTAAGTATATAGGCCTACGGCTCTCTCAGCATCTCAGATAGATCTCGCTGCGATGCTCCCCGACCATCGTTAGCGATCACCCTGGCTCTGGGCGAAGACGATACAGATCGCAAAAGGAACCTTCCTCGTAATATGCAAGCGAGCTTCATTGTTTGTGAGTCGTGAAGTAAAGTAGTAGACGCTGCATAGACGAGCGGCTGAACATCGTACTTCAAGTGTCCGGACTGGCGCCCGGCACGCAGCACGACCAACGGGCATATGCGTACTCAGTGGTGCGCACAGCCAGAGCGCCCGATGCCGATCCTCGCACTCCCTCGAGTCTGATAGAAGCCCGATATTGTATAGAACGGAGCCCAGAGCGCTCATCGCCTCAGGCGAGAGCCTGAAGACGGCGTCCCAAAGGAGGTTTGTGGCGTAGAAGCGAGTATACATGGCATCCGATATCCGCTCTGCGCGTCCCGCGCGCGGTTGTGGCCGAGGGTACAAGAGAACCTCTCAGTCAGCACCAGCCCCGCTTGCCCTGTTACATAGACTGACCCGCCCGATAGAACCCGTCGAAAGGTTCCCCGCTCGCTATCGGAACATACGCGATAGTTCCAGAGATACGTGTACACCCGTACGCAGCGTGTTCCGCGCCTCGCAGCTGGACAATCGTTAAGCGCGTAGAATGACCTGATGATATGTCTGTAGGACGACGAAGATCGTGCGCGTGTCTCGCCACCGCAGATGAGGGAAGCACTGATAGAAGAAGAAGACGGGCTTGGCCTCGAGGTACGGCGCACGACGCAGGTGACGAGGACGGCGAACTCGAAGAAGGTGATACGCGAGACCGGCGCGGTGTGAATACAAGGAAAACTGCTTGCCCGTCATGGCCGCATCGCAGGTCATAGGAACCTGGAAGCATGATCCAAGCGCAAGATCTCTAATCACGATGCGGGTTTGATGTTGTTGGACCTGTATGAGTGTATTGTACAAGGCGTGAGCACTGCTGAACCGGGAAGTCCGTATGACACGCCACGCCGTGCCGCATGAATGCCGGCACCGGGGATAGAGTGAAAGAGATGGAGATCCAGGACGTGCAGAAGGATCATACCGTTCCATCTCAACTGCGGGGATGAAAGAAGTTCGAGGTGCGCGTTCATCGCGCCCGTCGGTGACGGCGGTCAATAGAGAGGCCATCTGCAAACCAGGAATCCCTTAGCAAGCGTTAACAACGCTCGGTAACGACGATAACGACGGTAAGAACCGTTAAGCGTTTCAAACGGCCAGAAAGTGTCTAGTTAGCGTGGCTCTCGCGTGCCTCGGCGATGGCCGACAAGGTTCGCGCGGGTCGTGGCTTGTTTGTGGCGCCTGTATCCTCACAGCCCCTATGTCTTTTCGCGTCAAAATTGCATGGCCCGAGAGGTATTTTCAAGGACTAGCAGGATGGCTCCCAACAACAGAAGGGAGGGACGGAATGATAAGGTCGAAAATGTGTGCGGCACGGTTCCAACACGAGGCGGGGGCTCTTGCGGTCGTTTGAAACGCTTACCGGGTCTTACTGCTGTTAGCATCGTTACCGAGCGTTGTTAACGCTTGCTAAGGGATTCCTGGTTTGCAGATGCAGTACGAAGCTCAAGCGCTCGCTTCGTACTGGACGATGCAAGTATTGGCAATTTGCGAGCTGCGCGGTCTCAAAAGCAGATTTGGCAGACGGCCGCATAGTGGCGTTCAATGCGCGCATCGTGCCCTCGGTCTTGGTTACACGTATTCTCGCGCATGGGTGCAGTCTGAAGAGGCGTTATTCGTGATGAACCCCACAACAACACCCACTGCGGTACCGGGCGTATATATTCTCCTGAGCGCATCGAGCAATACGGCTTCCTCTTGGCTCTTCCGCCACCGTGCTAGAGCACAAGAGGTCGCCGTACCCCACAACATGTATCATCGCGAGGTGTACACGATGGCTTGCAGCCCGTCGGCCGCTCAAACATGGTGGCGTGCTCGCTGAATAATGAGTATACACGAGACGACAGCGGCGGCCAATTCCGAAGGCACCCAAAGCGTAATGTGCGACACGATGACAGCCAGGAAGGCGCACCGCAGCCGCCGGCAGAAGGACTGTGAACAATGCATGTCTCGAATGGGGAACCCTCGGACCGACCACGCGAGCCCGCTCGCATAGAACGGTCGCTCCACCATTCCGAGCAACCCACCCCTTGGCACCGTGCTCAAAGCTGAACAGTCAAAAGCTTTCAGCTTAGAATGACAGGTGCTGTCATTGAGAAGATTTTGTTCGCCGTCAAGCTGTCCGTACGGATCGTCGCATGGTACGCGGAGCTTCGACCGCAGCCATGATCGAGGGGCACATGCTGTCCTAGGCTTCTCTATACTGCGTCTTAGCGACATGGGCGGCGTTCCTCTGGCTTCCTCAACCCCGGGATCGCGTCAGGCGCAGACGCGGAACGGTTGGAAGCACCGCGGAGCGCTGTGCGGCGTCCTGTGCCATAAGCACGGGCTTTCCAAGCCGTTACGCCGCGCGCATCGAACAGCAGACAGCGGTCGGAAGAAAGCAATAGAGCACTTGAACAATGGGCAGGGACGAGAAAAGAAGATCGATGGCATGTACCCTTGGTGATCCAATCCATGTACCGATGGTCATCTGAATTGCGGGGAGATGCCTGTTCGCGGGTTTGCAATGAGCGCATGGCCTGGCATGATCTCCGACTGTATACCGAGGTTTAGGGCGTCTTGTAAGAACGAGGTCTCAACGCTACGAATCGATCGTGTTCACAGCTCGTGGCCTAGCGCCAAGGGCGAGGAGAGAAGGCGTAGTGCTTCTTCGTCGAAAATAGGACTAGTACTAGGGGGCGTGGCGGCGGCGAGCCGCAAAAAGACGCGCGAAGCGGGCGACGGATATGAGAACACACGGCCGGTAAGTTCAGCATCAAAGGGACGAGACATGGTTCAAGGAGAACAACAGGGCTGTCGGGATGCAGATCAACTGCCATATGTCCATTGTGGCGACAAATACAGGCGTCTGCGCGATGTAATCAATACGTCGGAGTCGACGTGTGAGCTCGAGTGAATACAAGCGCTGAGCGTCGCCGGTTGGGATAGCGAGTAGAGTAGCCGGATCCGGATGGGAACGCGATGATGAAGGGAGGGAGATGGAAGCAAAGGCGATCAGCGTGGAACCGTGTCGGACGGATGAATATACTAAGAATGTGAGATCGATTCCCCGATCCCGGTGTTGTCCCGGGTACGTAAGATAAAGGGGGAGGCGCTCGCGAAGCCCTGTAGATCAATCAGGCCCGCGGGTATATAAACCGCGGACGCGAACTTCGCAGGAAAGTACACACACGCACACACCATGGCCGCAGTACACCAGTTCACGCTTCGCCCTGTCGACATGCGCGACGCTACCTCTCCTACTCGCCATCCGTCTCACTACGGCCCGCCTCCCGGCCCGTCGCCATCCTCATCTTCATCGGGCTCGTCGTACGGCGGTGCTCCCTCTGGTCCCACCAATGGACATAATGTCCACGTTCCGGACGTAAATCTACCGCAGGGCCAGCCTGGTACCCCTATGAACGCAGTGCCTAGAGCATACCCTCCACCGCCGACTGGTCACGATCTCATGCGGCTGTTCCCGCCGCCGCCGCCGAGCCAGTTCTCTGAG